GACTTTAATTCATATAAACTCTGGTTTTTCTTTCGAAGAGAACTGTGATAAGCTATGTAGTGTCAGCATGCGAAGAAAAAAAAGTTATTGGTTCGGAACGGGTAAATGGGTTTCGTTACATGCTCTCAAATAAATTTTACGATTCATTTATTTAAAGTGTTCAACAGTTGACATTGATACAGGTAGGTGTAGAGATTTGCTTTTGACCATTCTTAAAATAACCTCATCTAACAGAGGAAGTTGACTAGCAGATAGGCAGAGCTGTACTATTCAGAAAAAAAGTGATTGGAAATGTTGAAAAATCTAATAGATTAGGACTGTTAGTTGCCAAAATTGAGATGAAGTGCTTCTGTTTATTCGAAAACATAATTCCTTCAGTAGAGCCATCGCAAGCGTACAAATGCTAATAGATGCAACCAGAAGCTCTGAATACATCATGGGAAATTGTATAGTACAATACATGTTGTTGCCATTCACGACTGAGAACGCATTCTCAGGTTATCGACTTTTCTATGCATTATTGGTGACTATGTACTGTTTTATCGCACTAAAGAGCAAAGTCCTTAAAATAATAGGAGGCGCAAATAGACCTTAAACCTTTCCTAACCTTGCTAGTCATTCCAAGTAAATCCATAAAACTTGTTTTATTTATCAAACCCCGTACAAAATATTATTTCATAAAGCTTGAAATCATGCAGAATAAAATATATATAAAAATATTTGATATGGCCATAGGTTACTTATGTAAAATGTCTCGAACTGAGAACAGCTCTGAAAATTATGTATTTGATGATTACTCTTGATTTCTAAATAAATGAGTGTTGATCAAGAAGATATATGATTTCATTGTCACTCCAAATCTCTATTACTCTCGACTTCGAAAGCGATCATGCGTAAAGATAGCCCTGGATTCGCCTATGGACTTGACCTCGAACCAATTACAACTTTGCTGGCTGCACTCCAGGCTGCTTCGAATGAGGCAGGCAACAATCACGGAGTGGTGGAGAGAGATGAGAGAGAGCGTGTGAGGGAGGTGGCTTCGCGATCGTAGTTGGTAGTGCTGTGGCTGGCAAACGACCGATTCTGAATCACCGCTATGACCTTATTCACTAGCGCTAGTTGCATACGTTAGCTCAGTGATCAGCCCAACTCCTTCACTTCCTCTTCTCTCTCGGCCTTCTCCCACAAATTCCCCCAACTCTTTTCTTATCTCCAATTTTCCTTCTAATCACCTCACCTTATCAGTCAGGGTTGTATTCGGTCATTTTTTCCTTCTGCAATCATGCCTCCTTATCTCTGCAGCAGCAATTCCTATACGACGTTGACCTGGCCGCCAAGCAATAGACGGCCTTTGCAATTACTCTTTTCCTCAAAGTATCGTCGTTGTCTTCTAACCATTGCTTCTCACTGTGTCGACTTCAGGGAGGAGATGCGCCTCAAACTTCTATTATTATTGTCTACATTAACGTTAATATGTGCGCAAACGCAGCTGTTAGACTATGGAGAAAGAGCAGGTGATCAGGTGAGAGATGTTTTATATTTTCTATACTTTTCCTTTAAAGTTCGTACATGATCCTCTGTTTCTCGTTTATCATCGCTTTCGGTCCATTCCGAATGAGTTCCTTTTTTTCCCTGCGGGATAGCGTTGCGCTATGCATTTGTGACCAGCGTGCGACTGATACGGCATATTCTTCCTCTTTATAAACTTGTTCATTGTCTGATTTGGTACGAGTAAGAGAACCATTTCCATGACCGTT